TTCTTTAGTGTCTGGATTCTTTCACTTAATGTGTTTTGAGATTCATCTGTGTTGCTGTGTGTATCAGGAGTTTGCTTCTTTCTATTGCTGAGTTGCACCTATTGTATGAACAAACTGGTTTGTTTAACCTGTTCTCTCTGAATAGCATCTATTTCCACTTTTGGTCATTATGAATAAAACTGCTATGAGCAGTCATATGTGATTCTTTTTAAACACACATATTCATTATTCTTAAGTAAATATTTAGGTCTGGTAAATAGCACTCTTAATTTCCCTTTGGGAAACCACCCCTCACCTTGGCTCCAAGGCTGTGTATACCACCTGGGCCCATGAAAGTATTATATTCTCCCTGACCACCATGACTGGTTCAGGAAGAGATATGTGACCCAAATCAAATCTGGACAAAATCAATTTCAGATCTTTTGCTAGAGCTATCTGCAAAAAGATAACCTCTTTCTGTTGGTTAAGAGTAGCATGGAGGGCTTTGCTGGTGGCGCAGTGGTTGAGAGTCCGCCTGCCGACGCAGGGGACACGGGTTCGTGCCCCGGTCTGGGAAGATCCCACATGCCGTGGAGCGGCTGGGCCCATAAGCCATGGCCGCTGAGCCTGCGCGTCCAGAGCCTGTGCTCCGCAACAGGAGAGGCCACAACAGTGAGAGGCCCACGTACTGAAAAAAAAAAAAGAGTAGCATGGAATATGACCCAGCAATTCCACTAATGGGCATATACCCTGAGAAAAACCATAATTCAAAAAGAGTCATGTACCACAATGTTCATTGCAGCTCTATTTACAATAGCCAGGACATGGAAGCAACCTAAGTGTCCATCGACAGATGAATGAATAAAGAAGATGTGGCACATATATACAATGGAATATTATTACCCAGCCACAAAAAGAAACGAAATTGAGTTATTTGTAGTGAGGTGGATGGACCTATAGCCTGTCATACAGAGTGAAGTCAGAAAGAGAAAAACAAACACCGTATGCTAATACATATATATGGAATCTAAAAAAAAAAAAAGGTTCTGAAGAACATAGGGGCAGGACAGGAATAAAGACGCAGACGTAGAGAATGGACTTGAGGACGTGGGGAGGGGGAAGGGGAAGCTGGGACGAAGTGAGAGAGTGGCATGGACATATATACACTATCAAATGTAAAACAGGTAGCTAGCTAGTGGGAAGCAGCCGCATAGCACAGGTAGATCAGCTTGGTGCTTTGTGACCGCCTAGAGGGGTGGGATAGGGAGGGTGGGAGGGAGCCGCAAGAGGAAGGAGATATGGGGATATATGTACACATATAGCTGACTCACTTTGTTATACAGCAGAAACTAACACACCACTGTAAAGCAATCATACTCCAATAAAGATGTTTAAAAAAAAAAAGTAATTATACTCCAATAAAGATGTTTTTAAAAAAGAGTAGCATGGAAGCCTGGAACTGATGGAGGCTTTTACCTGCCTGAGGGAGAAATCAACATGGACAAAAGCAGAGCTGAGAAGACACAGAAAATATTGGTGACATAGTTTAGGCTTCTGGATACAGCCATGCCTGAAGCTGATGCATCCAGGACTCCAGATACAGTCAACAGATACTCCTTTTCTGCTTAGACTAGTTTGGGTTACCTTTTTGTTACCTGCAACTGGGAAGTTTGACTAAAAAGAGGTAATTCTTGGGGACAAAGGCTTGAGGTGGAAAGCACATACCAGCTGCTAAACACCCAGCTTAAAACTGTTCTCTGACCCTCTACTAGCAGCCAAGGCCTCATACAAACAAATGCAAACATCCTACACTTAAACCACTCTAAAAAGAATCCCACAGGACTCAAGACAATAAAAGCTTTGTTATGAGTCAAAGGGAAGCAAAGCATCTAAGACTCTACACTCAGATCCCATACCCTCAATTTAGCCACCATCAGTAAGAAGCTACATTAATCAATTAGTTTTTTTTAAAAAATTAAGACGATGATTTCCACTTACCCCCCCCCCACCCCCGCCCAGTACCTACCATGCTTCTGTACCGAAGCTTACACAGGTGATTCTCCTTTAAACCTACATCAATGCTACAAGCCCACCTTCTTTACAGCTGGGGAAACTGAAGTTCAGACAGGTTAAGTTATGCTGGTAACTCAGGAAATACAGGTAGTTGAGCTGGGATTGCAAGTCTGCAAACTATAAAATCTATGCTCTTCCTCCCAATTCTAAGTTTTGTCACAACTTCAGCATATTCAATAGCAAAAGAGATCATGGAAGTAGAAGCAATTTGTCTACTGTAAACTGCCAATCAACTGTTAGGTTATTACGATTACACTGAAAGTATCACCAGCAAGACAGTGATTCATTGTGCCATCTGAAAAAAAAAGAGGTAGGAAAATAAAGGTAACAATGACAGCTATTCCTGATTACCTACCATGTGCTAAGCACTCTTGCGTAGATTATCCTTTTTAACAATCCTGCAAAGTACTGTTCATAGTACTGAGGAAACTTGAGTCTTGGAGAAATAAATGACTTTACCAAGAAAACACAAACAATAAGTGGAAGAGGTGGGATTCAAATTCAGGTTTGTCTGACTCTGCAACCTAAGCCTTAAGGGCTCAAACAACTTAGTATCAACATCCAACTCCCACTGGTTCAGTGTTCACCATTCTACCTTCCTCTCCACAGATACAGTGACCACAAATCCTGAAGTGACATAAATTGGGTATTTTTTCTGAGGCAGATGACTCATCAAAATTCCAAGTGAGATTCATTTTTAAAACCTTTGTAAGAATCTTTGTATATAAATTTAGAAATCAGAAAAAAAGGACTTTGACTTAACATCCCTGCTTCTAGCTCCAGAAAATTGGTCTCTAAAACTATGGACTCTAATTGGACCTACCCACTGAGAAAAGGGTGCCTCGTGGTGGGCCAGGTGTTTATAAAATGGACACTCTGGTTTACCAAACACTTCCAAGGCACTGCTTCAGATCCTGGAGGGCACCTCTCAACTGACCTACAATATCCACGCCGAAAAATCCCAGGGCCCCAGCCTCAAACAAGCACAGGCTTTTATGCTTCTGTTATGCCTGCCTGAAATGCCTTTGATCCTTCCCCCTCTTCCCCTCTGGATCTCTCAAATTTACTCGTTTTTCAGGGTCCAAATCAAATGGCAGCAAAATTAACACTTTTACAGCAGTACTTGCCAACCTTTTTCACACCATGGCACTCAGAGAACACAATATTTGTATGGCATACTAGGATAGAAGGACAAAGCTGCTTATAGCCAGAAACAACTGGCAGGGAGATCTGGCTGTCCCAGGCCCCTCTCATCTGCCCTGATGCCAAGGGCAACCAAAACTTCCAGAAACTTCCAAAACACGGTACACCAACTTCCGTTCTGGCACCTGTCACACATACACCCGGTGACTAATTGTTTCACTTGTCTCTCCTGCCACACCTCTTAGAAGAGAGGGATGCAGTTTTATTTATCTTTATATTCCCAGCAACTAGCACAGGGCCTGGCACCTACCAAGTCCTCAAAATAGACTGCAAAACTGAACTGAATCCTGGAAACCTCTTAGAAACACTGCAACAATTCTGAACCTGGGCTGTTCAACACCTTCTCCTCCCGGACCGCAGAAAACAAATTAGTTGTAACCAATATCCTCTTAAGAGGGATTGTCTACTTACCACCTATGGAGAAAAGGTACTTTCCCTTTGTAAATTCATTCATTCATTCATTCATTAACATTTATCAAGCACCTACTCTGTGCCAGGCATGAGGGGTATACAGCAGTGAATGAGACAAACAGCCTTGATCTTAGGAAACTTACAGTCCAGAAAGGAACACAGATATTAAACAGTTTGGTATACTTAATTGTAGGTGAAATAAACACTCTAAAAGGGATGGATCAGAATACATAAATGGCTAAATCTGAATAAATGACAGAGAACGCCAAAAATGAAAACAGAAATTCTCAGGCAGAAAGGACTGACCAAATACCAAACATACCTACAATTGGACACCCAGGAGTGAAACTTCAAAGCCTCAAGGATAAATATGTGCTGACTGATGGAGGAGGAGAGAGAGGAAGCAAAAGACACCTACAATAACTCAAGGTCCTTGGCCTAAGCAACTGGAAGAAAGAGAAAACTGAGCAAGGCGAAAGGTAAAACTCAAAATTTCAGGAAGAGCAATGACTTGAAGGCAGAAATTTGAGAGTTAAGCACAGTAGGCGGTATTTATATTTAAAGCCCAGGAAGTGAACACTGAACAGATATCTAGGATGACGCTTTGGGGCAGTACAACCATTAAAAGTAAGGAAGAGCAAGAATCAGCAAAGTCAGAGAGAGCTGAAGCTAAAGACGAGAATGTTCCACAAGGCCAACAAAAAACGCGTTTCCATTAAAGACAGTGACTAACTGCATCAAATACTGCTAGGGGTCTCAGAACTTAACACTGAATTTGGCGACCTAGAGATGATCGGTGGCTTTGACAAGGCTCTATTTCAGAGGAGGGGTGGGGGCCAGGCCTGAATGGAGTGGGTTTGGAGGAGAAAAGGTGCTGGTGAATACAGGTTGAAATTTTGGCTGCAAACAGGGGCAGAGAGATGAGCCACCGGGAGGAATGTGAAGGAAGAATGAGGTTGTTTGGTTAAGATGAGCACATCTTGAGCAAATAACAGAAGCTGCCAAGGTTCGGGGCCCATCCTCTGCCCTCGTCTTCTCGCACCTGGGCTGGGTACCCCACCTCTCCCGGCCACCAAGCCAAGCTCCACGTGGGGCTGCTTCCCACCTCCGCAGGGCGGGCGGCGCAAGCGCAGGCCTTACAGAAGGTCTGCGCCAGCCCTCCCTCCCTCCCCGCGCCCCGCCTCTCCCCGCCCAGGGCGCGTGCGCACCGCCCCTCAAGAGCCGCCTCAGCAAAGCCCGGGAATGGGGATCTTCAGCCCTCCGCTCCCGCCATTCTCCGGGCGGGGTGGGCGAAGGCTGGGGGGTGTCCCAGACCGCGACCCATAGCCACCTACCGAGCCACGGGTGGAAAAGCACGTCGCGCTGGAAACTGCGACAGCGGGAGCAGGCGCGCGGTCGCTCGAATGCTTTTCAAAGTCTGCGGATAACAACGCGCTTGCGTTCGAAGATTCGCGGCAGGGCGAAAATCACACACGCTTTTTTGCCTTTTATGAGCTTGGTCGCAGCGCGGAGGACCTCTCTACGCATGCGCTGTCTTCCTCTGTGACATGCCGCGCTGCCCCTTGGGAAATGTAGTTTTCAGTTTACACACTGTTCCCGACTCAACTGAACCTTATTTTACCAAACCAGGGTCCTTGTGTGATTTCAATATCCTCTCCCATTCCCCAATAAATGCCTCTATAAAACAATAATACTTTTTTTAAACGAGCAGATTGTTGATTGAAGAGGGAGCAGTGGGCATATGAGAATTCTCTGTACTTTCTGCCTCGATTTTGCTGGAAACCTAAAACTGCTCCAAAAAATAAAGTTTATTTTTAAATTCTTTAAAAACAAATAGAAACAAGCAGATCTGTAGACCCAGAAATCATGCTTTTAGGGAATCTTCCCAGGAATGTACTACAGTTGGGTGAGCAAGTATTTAACTACAATGGTCTACATCCTAGCATCTTGTAATTTCTTACATAACCCCTACCAAAGTTTATAATTATATATATTTTTCGATTATTTGATACACTTGCCAGCTCAATGAAGTCAGGATCATCTGTTTTAGTCACCTATGTATTCCAGCTACCTAGCATAGTGCCTGGTATATAATAGGCCTTCAATATTGTTTTATTCATTAGAAGAATCTCAGACATCAACACAAACTGTTTCAGTCCAAAACTTAATGCATCATTTTCTTCCTGCAAGCTTGCTTTTCTTTCTGTGGTCTCTCAATAAATGGCATGACCATCTACCCAGTCTCAGCTTTATATCCTGCATTTTATGAGGCTTATGCTAGCAAGGATTTCACATTTTTGTGTTTGTAGGAGTCTCAGAAGCTATTTCTCCTGAATGTCAAATACCAACTTCAGATTCTCCTCAGGGGAGATTTGGCACTCACAACTTTTTGTTTGTTTGACTTTAATTTCTTATGTTTCCTACAATAAACATGTATCACTTAAAATGTATCACCTGATTAATTTTTAAAAGTGTTTTAGAGTGTTGCCCATATTGTAAGAGGTAGCTCTGTCCTCCCCTCCACATCCAGATTTCTCAAAAGAATCATCTGTCCTCAGTTTTCATTTTCTTACCTTCCACTTGGCAGCAATGGCCCAAGCCGGCAGCTGGGAGTTACCCTTGATATCACATTTTCCTTCCCAGCCCATATTCAGTCCATCACTAAGTGTCTGCAGTTCACATTTGTTGGGCACTTACTATGTATCAGGTACTGTCATATAGGAGAAAGTTAGAACTGTGGAACTGACCAGAACACTCCCTTTGTCTGGGCAGCATAGTTCCGTCCTGTGAGAAAGCTACAGCATGGCAAAGAAATCTGGGCCTTCTTCATCTATCCGTTAAGTCTCATCACTTCAGAGCAACACACCTGAAATGCTTTTCCAAAGAGCCTTGAAAAGTCACAGCAACCTTCACTGACGGTCTCTTCAAGGGCATGTGGAGAGAGTTACATACCATACTTTCCTAACAATCCCTTTACAAATTCCTCCCTTGACGCAGAGTTCCACTGCTGAGGGCCATGCTCACATCCTTCTCTGCTCTTTGGTTTCTCCCCCTTCAGGATTGGCTTTTTACATGGTTGCTTCAGGCACCTTCTATGTAAAGCCAGCCTCCAATCTCTCAGATTGTCCCTGTTCATGCTCACCCATCACCCACTTAAGCAAAACAAAAAGCTCTCTTCAACCTGACCTCATGTGGCAGGCAGGTGGGAGATATTGTAATTACTGTACTCGCATTTAATGGTGGTTTTCCTTGACACAGACAAAAAAAACATATCATGACCAGAAGGTGGCATAGTATGCATGGAACCCAATGGAGGAAAGGGATGAAATAAACTGACACTTAAAAATTTCCTTTCGGAATTCCCTCGTGGTGCAGTGGTTAAGAATCCGCCTGCCAATGCAGGGGACACGGGTTTGAGCCCTGGTCCGGGAAGATCCCACATGCCGCGGAGCAACGAAGCTCGTGCACCACAACTACTGAGCGTGTGCACCCTAGAGCCCACGCACTGCAACTACTGAGCCCACCTGCTGCAACTACTGAAGCCCGTGCACCTAGAGCCCGTGCTCCACAACAAGAGAAGCCACCGCAATGAGAAGCCCGCGCACCGCAACGAAGAAGAGCCCCCACTCACCACAACTAGAGAAAGCCCGCGCGCAGCAACAAAGACCCAACGCAGCCAAAAATAAATTTAAAAAAAAAAAGTAGATGATTTAGGTCAGTTCACAGACAATGACCTCTTTATTGACTGCACCAGAGTGTCAGGCTGCTCCCATTGCCCCCTCCCGTCACTGACAAAGTGACCCCTTATCGTCCCTTCCACATTTAAGAGCTCTATGGCACGACCTGATTGATATAAAAATTTTAACTTAAATGGAAATCTATACTATGAAGTGATTATTCCTCTAAAAAGACATTTCAGGCAAATCAAAACTACAATGAGGCGCCTCTGGTACCACACCAGTCAGAATGGTCATCATTAAAAAGTCCACAAACAATAGGTGCTGGAGAGGATGTGGAGAAAAGGGGACCCTCCTACACTGTTGGTGGGAATGTAAATTGGTACAGCCACTATGGAGAACAGTATGGAGGTTCCTCAAAAAACTAAAAGCAAAGTTGCCATATGATCCGGCAATCCCACTCCTGGGCATATATCCAGACAAAGCTCTAATTTGAAAAGATACAAGCACCCTTATGTTCATAGCAGCACTATTCACAATAAGACATGGAAACAACCTAAGTGTCCCATCGACAGATGAATGGATAAAGAAGATGTGATGTATATATATATATATATATATATATATATATATATCTCACAATGGAATGCTTCACAATGGAATGCTACTCAGCTGTAAAAAAGAATGAAATAATGCTGTCTGCAGCAACATGGATGGACCTAGAGATTACCATATTATACTAAGTGAAGTAAGTCAGATAGCGAAAGACAAATACCATATAACATCACTTACATGTGGAATCTAAAATATGACCCAGGGACCTCCTGGTGGTCCAGTTGTAAAGAATCCGCCTTCCAATGAAGTGGACGTGGGTTCGATCCCTGGTCGGGGAACTAAGATCCCACATGCCTCAGGGCAACTAAGCCTGCGCGCCTCAACTAGAGACAGGAAACCAACCAGAACACCACAACTAGAGAGAAGCCCGTGAGTCACAACAAAGAGCCCACATGCCACAACAAATATCCAGTGTGCCGCAACTAAGAGACATAGGCAAAAACTTTTTTAAATAAATATTTTTTTAAAAAATGACCCAAACTAACTTATCTACAAAACAGAGACAGAAACAGACTTACAGACATAGAGACAGACTTGTGGTTGCCAAGGCGGGTGGGGGGCATGGATTGGGAGTTTGGGATTAGCAGATGCAAATTATTATATATAGAATGGATAAACAACAAGGTCCTACTCTATAGCACAGGGAACTATATTCAGTATCCTGTAATAAACCATAATGGAAAAGAATATGAAAATGAATATATGTATATAAATAACTGAATCACTTTGTCGTATACCAGAAACTGACATAACATTGTAAATCAACTATACCTCAATAAAATAAATTTAAAAATAAAATAAAAAGACATTTTAAGCAACAGGGTTTGGAAAATCTTAACGTCTACACCTGGGTAAGCATGAGCTATGTGTGTTTTATTTTCTTTATGTGAGAAAATTGACAGATGGGCTGAATCATCATATATTTGTCAATAGACTTAGAGAGACAGGTAGTACTTAAAAAGTAGCACTGAGGGCTTCCCTGGTGGCGCAGTGGTTGAGAGTCCGCCTGCCAATGCAGGGGACACGGGTTCGTGCCCCGGTCCGGGAAGATCGCACATGCCGCGGAGCAGCTGGGCCCGTGAGCCATGGCCGCTGAGCCTGCATGTCTGGAGCCTGTGCTCTGCAACGGGAGAGGCCACAACAGTGAGAGGCCCGTGTACCGCAAAAAAAATAAAAATAAAAAAAATAGCACTGAACTGGGAAACAGGGGACTATTGTCTCCTAAATCAAGAACTAAAACTCCCTTGTACTCCAACTCCTTTGGTTAACTAAATGCACTACACTTTCCCCGCTTTGACTTTCCTGGGACACTGTTCCACGATCTCCTGGTCCATCTGACTTCTGCTCATCCTTTCCAGTAAGCTAACACATGACCTTCTCTGGGAGTTACTCACAAGTCTGGATTAGGTGCACCTTGCAGCTTGAATGTGCTTTTCTCGCATTACTTATTACACTGCATGGGACCATGTTGGACACTAGCCTGTCTATGAGCTAGTTGGGTGTGGGTACCATGTTCTGCTTTTATGTCCCAGCACCAAGCAAGTGCCTGGCATATGGTTAATGCCCTAACATATGTAGAGTGAAGAATGTCAGCCTCTCTGGTCCTTCCTTCCTCATCTGTTAAATGGGGTTGGGTTTGCTGATCTCTAGGGAGACTTCCAGTAATAGAATTTCTTATTCTAAAGTCTTCTATTATTGTTTTATCTGGTCATGTATCTTCCTTAGTTACCAGGAGAAATGTGTGACACCTGTATTATGCTGACAACAATGTATTACTCATTATCTCTATTATTTCAATAAATGTAATGCAAAATTTTGGATTATAGTATACATGATGTTCTGTAGACTACTTTTTTCATTTAACAATGATTTATGGACAACTTTCTCATCAGGGCTAGAGATATAGCTTGTTTTTTTTAATGGCTACAGAATATTTCACAGAAGGGTGTTGATCAATTGCATACCGATGGACACTTAATTTGTTTCCTGTTTTTCACTCTACAAACAAGGCTGGGAGCATTTCTTTTTTTTTTTTTTTTTTAATAAATTTATTTATTTATTTTGGCTGCGTTGGGTCTTTGTTGCTGCGCGCGGGCTTTCTCTGGCTGTGGCGAGCGGGGGCTACTCTTCGTTGCGGTGCGCGGGCTTCTCGTTGTGGTAGCTTCTCTTGTTGCAGAGCACAGGCTCTAGGCGCGCGGGCTTCAGTAGCTGCAGGACGTGGGCTCAGTAGTTGTGGCTCGTGGGCTTAGTTGCTGCGCGGCATGTGGGATCTTCCCGGACCAGGGCTCCAACCCGTGTCCCCTGTGTTGGCAGGCAGATTCTTAACCACTGTGCCACCAGGGAAGACCTGGGAGCATTTCCATAGGAGACTTCTCAGGGGGTATGTACATTTAACATTTTTATCAATATTGCATCCATTTATACTCAAGGTGAGGTTATCACACAGTCAAGAATAATTCCAAGCACAGCAGCCAAGCTTGAGGGTTTCTCTGGACTTGGGACTATAAGGTCATACAGAGGTATCTTGTTTCACCTCATTGAAGCTTCTTGAGTCCCCTTGGTATACAGTGATGTCACCAACTCACCTTGATGACATATCCTGCCTTCAAGGGACGCTCCTGATCCTTCGAGCCAAAGACTTCTGCACATCCCTCAGTCTATCCAGGATTTCCCGACTTGAATGGTTTAACTCCTGGCGTTGGGCATGTCTTGCTGTCTTTCTCACAGTGGTTCTTGTTCAAGCTTCACTGCCTCCAGGAAGTCTGCCCTGATCCTCTCACAACACCCTCCTCCTGCCCCACCCCATGCCCTGCTGGGTTAGGTGCCCTCTGGAGAGCTCCCCCAGCCCCCTGTGTTTACTCCAGGCTGATCATACTGGGTTGTAATAGGCATGCTTGGCAATCTCCTGGAATGTCACGAAGGTATAGTCATAAGCAGAAAGAAAATAAACTTCCTTGTGGCTGGCCTATGGTTAATGGCCTAACCACACCTGGAGGCAAGGGGATGGAAAACACACCTCCTGACTTTTCCCAATGAGTCATCTTTTGGGTCCTATAGGTCCAGCTGATGGGTTCCCCAAAGTCCCTTCTCTCTTGGGTTATCCTCCCCTGCCTGCCCCTCCCCCTAGGGTCTAGACTTCATTCTTCCAGCACGTGCACGATCAAGGCCAGAGTGACCTTCTTTCCTGGCTCCATGAAGGACAGTCGTGTGTCTTCACAGTCCTCTGTGGGACTAGGATTGGACCTCTCTGTTTCTTCAGAACAGAGCATCTGGAAGTTGAAAAACCAATATTGGTCTCAGCATAGCTCTATGTATTCAACTAGTCATTTATTGAGCGCTGACTGTGTGCCAGGCATCAGGGATAAGGTAGACAAGATTCCTGCTATCATGAATAATGATAATGATAGCTAACATTATTTAACGCTTACTGTGATCTAGGTACTGTGCTAAGCCTTTATAAAAACTGGTCCCTTAATCCTCACAGCAATCCTCCTAGGTAGGTACAATTATTAATCTCATTTTACAAATGAGGAAACCGAGGCACAGAGAGGCTAAATAACTTGTCTAAGGGCATACAATTGGTAGAACCAAAGTTTGGACCCAGGCAGTCCCGCTTCAGAGCCTACTCCTTTATTTTTTTATTATTTTATTTTATTTATTTATTTATTTTAGCTGCGCTGGGTCTTTGTTGTGGCACATGGGCTCTCTACTTGCCGTTTGTGGGATCTTAGTTCCCCGGCCAGGGATTGAACCCCGGCCTCCCGCACTGGGAGTGTGGAATCTTAGCCATTGGACCACGAGGGAAGTCCCAGAGCTTACTCCTTTAACTGCTAACTAAACTAAACCAGTGATTGTATTCTAGTGGGGACAAATCATAGAGAAGTAAACAAATAAAAAAGAGATTTTTGATTAGTAATAACTGAATGCCCTGGAGAAAGTAAAATGAAAGGGTAATGTACTGAGGGGATGCATGGTATTCTGGATAGGAATGTGCACTAATCTTGCTGAAGACCCACCTCCCCCAGAGCTTCCAGAGGGCGCAGTGTGTAGTTCGGTGCATCTTCAGTACCTGGCCTGGTCCCAAGCAAGCACTGACTGTTTGGGAGGAAGGGAGGAAGGAGGAAACCCTGACAGATGCCTCCATACACACAGCTGTCAAACTTTTGCCAGTGTTTGGTCAGCTGTGCTGACTTAGAACGAGCCCCGGAACTAGGGTCAGGTAGACCGGGGGAGGAATCCTTCACCACTCACCAGCCGTGTGACCTTGAGCAAGTCACTATCTGAGCCTCGGTTTTCTTTATTTGAAGACTGGGGGAAATAGCAGTATACCGCGGGCCGGGTCTGGAGGAGGCCCTTTCACATACCAGGGGCTGTTGCCGTTCTCCCTTTACAGATGAGCAGACTGAAGCTCAGAAGTGGGCTCAGGGGCTTCCCTGGTGGCGCAGTGGTGAAGAGTACGCCTGCCGATGCAGGGCACGCCCCGGTCCGGGAAGGGCCCACATGCTGCGGAGCGGCTGGGCCCGTGAGCCATGGCCGCTGGGCCTGCGCGTCCGGAGCCTGTGCTCCGCAACGGGAGAGACCACAACAGTGAGAGGCCCGCATACTGCAAAAAAATTAAAAAAATTAAAAAAAAATAAGTGGGCTCAGGATCTCGCAGCTGGTAACCCGGAGTCCTGGTGGCAGAAGTGAATGAGTGAAAGACCGTCCCCTAGAGGTAGCTCGGGAATTTGTGGGCGTGTTCTCCGTAGTCACAATGATCTCAGGTCGGAGCAGGACAGTCGGTCGCACACAGAATTGTCCCACATCCCGTACGACGTCTGACTGTCCTGCTAGACATTCACGAAGCTATTAAAAAAAAAAAAATTTATTTCAGTGAGCCGACCCCACCCCATCTCATGTCATGCTAGAGGGAATGATTTTGCTACTACATTTAGTGGTAAAGCCCACTACTTTGCAAGAACTCCGTATTTCCTAATTTCTCCACCTTAAATTGCCTGGTCTGTTTGTATTTTGGGGGTTGATTTTTGTTTTTCTTTCTGGCTGCACCAGGTCTTAGTTGCAGCATGCAGACTCTTAGTTTCGGTATGCGGGATCTAGTTCCCTGACCAGGGATCGCAAACCCAGGGCCCCGGCATTGAGATCCCGGAGTCTTACTCACCGGACCACCAGGGAAGTTCCAGTGTGTTTGTTACTTTTGTTTAAGTTATGGTTATTTTCCTCTTTCTCTTATCATCTGGCCTTTTATTATTATCCCCATTCTGTTTTTATTCACTTTCATTTCCTGGGCGTTAAAGAACTCACAGATCACCCAAATCTGGAAAACAGAGGCTGAATTTAATTCTGGCTCAGGCCAGCGAGAAGAGCAAGTCGAAGTGACGCTTCTTGTTCTGCAGAGGACGAGACCGGGTTATTACTGGGTTATTATTCCGGGAAGAATGGAGTTTAGGTAACATTGAGATGAAACAGTGTTTCGATGGGCTCACAGCAAAGTGGGAATGTGAGCAGGGAATTAACACCTGCCCTGGGCTGAGAAGGTCCTCTTGCACTGGAAACCACAGAGTTTAAAAAAAAAAAAAAAAGTGGAATGTTGTGCCTGCTTCCTTCCCTGCCCCTGGTGCTGAAACCTCAGCTGAAGCATGAGTGGGCAGCCCAGGGTGTGGCCTCTCTGGGTCAACGTGACCCACACAGTCAGGTCCTTCAGGCAAAAGAGGAAAATTCCACTTTTCCATGTTTCTTATCCAAACCCCTTCTTTTAATTCATATTAAATTAGCACAAACATCTGTTTACTTCACAATGTCTTCTACCTCAGTATATCTATGGTTTGAAATACATATTATTTTATTTTAAATTAATCTCCTCTACGTCTCCTTTACATTACAGGGAGGGCATTATATTGAATTGTTTGGAAACTATGTGCTCAACTCACACAGTGCAGCTTACACTGTAGCAGGCACTGTTGCAGGTGCCATGCCATGGATTATCTCATTTGATCCTCTCCCCAAATCTATGAGGTAGATACAATTATTATCATCCGCAGTTTATAGAGGAAAAAACTGAGGCACAGAGAGGTAAAGTGACTTGTCCAGGGTCACACAGCATGTAATGGATCAAGGGTTTGAATACAGGGCATCTGGCTCCAGAATCAGCTTAACCACTCTGCTAGCCTCCCTCTCAGGAGTGGGAGATTACCTAGGGACCCCCATTTCAGGATGTTAAGGGGGGGTTCCAAGGTGTTTCTTATAAAAAAGTTGGGTTGGGTGTGATCGGGGTGAGAACCAATGACACAACACAGAGTGTGTTGTACCCTGTCCCAGCTCATTCTTCACTCCATGTTCTGCCACCACGGTCCTGAGTCTGAGCCAGAAGTGGGTGGGGGTGAGGGTCAGCTGTGCGGCTATGACCCCAGCCCAGGAGGGGCATGTGGCAGAAGGCAGGAGATGGATAGGAAGGAGTCAGCCAGGTAAGGCCCTCAGTTCCCTGCGGCCCTCCATCCCAAGGGCTGTTTATGCCCAGACCCTGCCTCTTACCTCCCCCCACCCCCGAGGGGCGGGGATCTCCTCAGTGGAAAAATACCCAGCTGGGCGAGCCCCAGTGAGAGGGAGGGGGGCAAGGGGAGCTGGGACTCACAGGACCGACTCTTTCCCCTCTCTGACTGATGTTTACTGGGCTGGGTTCTGGGAAAAGGTCAGATTGCATCAGACAGGGCCTGAGGGGTTGGAGCCAGACTGTGGGCCGAGGAGGAGACTGTGGCCTTGTAAGTTGGGGCCAGTGAATTGGGAGGTGTCAGCAAAGCAGACACAAACAAAGCTTTAGAAGACGAGAGAGAGAGAGAGAGAGAGAGAGAGAGACAGAGACAGAGACAGAGACAGAGACAGACATCATGGCCACCATCCCGAGAGCAGCCAGCCCGTCCAGGCAGCCCCCAGGCCCAGAGGATGAAGACCCCAACCTGGATGAGTATGACCTCTACAGCCTGGCTCATTCTTACCTGGGTAAGGCCTGGTCCTGCCACCTTCCTGGTCCTTCCGTCTCCAATGCCCACCCTCACAAATGGCCTGACCACCCCCCTTCCCAAACTAGGATCCCTCCTTGGGCTCCTGCCCATACATCACCCTTCTCCAGCCTGTTCCCTTGACCCCTCAAGTCACCCCCTTCTAACCCCTCATCCAGTGAGCTCTGTCCTACTCAGCCCTGGGACCACACGCACTCCTAGAATATTAGAGCAGCAACATCATTCCATAGACGGGGAAACAGGGACAACGACTGCCCTAAATCTACATGGTGATGCCCCCCAGCCTCCCGACTTTAACCCGAGCTCTTTCCATCCCTGCCCTCTGGACCCCCTGCGGCTCACCCCTCTGCCCACCTCACCACCGCCTCTCACCTCGGTTCCCAGGAGTGGGAGGCCGGAAAGGTCGCACCAAGAGAGAAGCCGCCGCCAATACCAACCGTCACAGCCCTGGTGGGCACGAGAGGAAGCTGGTGACCAAGCTCCAGAACACGGAGCGGAAAAAGCGAGGGGCACGGCCCTGAGACAGAACTCGAGGTAAGGCGTCAGGGGGCCCTGTCCGCAGCACCAGTAGAGGTCTCTCTGCCTGGAAAGGACAGGCCTGAATGGGCAAGGTTGGGTGGGAGGAGGGATCCAAGAATTGTTGTCTCAACATGGAATACAATGAGAGAGACTTTTGAGTTTCCTAGTGACCAGAGCAAAGGGAGAAACAGACCCTTTCCAACTGGAGCAAAATTTGGTTTACAAAGAGGGAAACTGAGGCCCAGAGAGGGTAGGGTCCTTCTCTAGAGTCACGGAGCAAGTGAGCAGGAGAGGCAGAATTAGAACCCAGGCCTCTGTGCTTTCACCACCTGCTTTCCTTCCCCCAGATGAAGTTAGAGCACGGACACCCCACAGCGACGGAGACAGAACTGCGAGGAACCAGCCCCTGGGGGCGGGATCCAGGCCTGCTTGCCCCCGCCCCCAGGACTTAGCCCACCTGACTGAGGTTCCGAAGGGCCACCAACGAAGCAGCCCCAGCCCCAGAAAAAAAACAAGATGGGGAACAAGAGGCAGAGAATAGAGAGAGGCAGAATCATGAAGGTACCCCTCAAAAAGAAAGAAGAAACCGGAGCTCCCCAGGGTGACAGCGACAATAAACAAAGTACAGCAGCTGCAGCCTGTGTGTGTGTTTTTGTCCTCTCTCTTTGTGTGGCTTTTTGGGTGCACATTTCTGCCAGCAAGTGTCTGCATTTGCATGAACCAATGAGAGAATTTTGGTGAGTGTTTATTTTGGTTGTGTGTCTGGGAAGGGGCGTTTCTAATTTTGTATGGCCGTAGAGGTGAGCATTTTTTTTTTTTTTGTATACATGTGTTTTGGTGCATATGTTTCTGTGGTTTCTTATGAGGTGCAAGGGAATTTCCTCTGTTTCTTTGTAATGCTGCCCATGAAACAAGCCCCTCCCCAGCTTCTCTCCATTTTCGGAATAACAATCTTGTTGTTTATCTTGTATTTATATAAAACCACCCTTTGAAGTGAATGTTATTTATTGATGCCATCTGCAAAATGGCAAAAACTGAGATTTAAAACATTAAGGGAGGGGCTTCCCTGGTGGCGCGGTGGTTAAGAATCCGCCTGCAAATTCAGTGAACACGGGTTTGAGCCCTGGTCCAGGAAGATCCCACGTGCTGCAGAGCAACTAAGCCCATGCACCATAGGTACTGAGCCTGCGTACCACAACTACAGAAGCCCATGCGCCTAGAGCCCCTGCTCTGCAACAAGAGAAGCCACCACAATGAGAAGCCTGAGCATTGCGAAAGAGTAGCCCCCACTCGCTGCAACTAGAGAAAGCCCGCACTCAGCAGCGAAGACCCAACGCAGCCAAAAATAAATAAATAAAATAAATAAATTTATAAAAGAAAAAAAATTAAGGGATTTGCCCCAAGTTATTCAGGACTCAAATTCAAGGATCCTTATTGTCCTCAAGTGTGAGATGGGTCCGTTTGCCAAGGGGGTTTTTGCCAGGACAGGGTTCTGGAAAGTCACCTGAGGAGGAAGAGTCTTATCTAGTGTTGTCAGTCTTGGAGCCAGACTTCCAGAAGAATGTGGAGCAAATAAGAGGTGTGATGGGAGCTGAGAGGATATATTGATTGAGGTAGAGACTTAGGTTGCTGAAATGACTCAAACGAAACAGGATAGAAAGTTCTTTCTCTGTTACATAACAGCTCCAAGGGTCAGTACTCCCGGGCTAAAATGGCAGCTCCATTGTGGCAGGAATTCCAGCTACTTCTGGCTCATTTTTCTGCCATCCTTAAAACATGGCTACCACTTTGCGGTCCGACCTAGCTCCTCCAGTACCTGCCATCTCATCTGCATTCAGCGTACGTAAATGGAGTGGGGAAGGGACCAGGGGAGGCCACACTAATTTATTTATTTATTTTGGCTTAGTTGCTCCGCGGCATGTGGGATTCTTCCTGGACCGGGGCTCGAACCCGTGTCCCCTGCTTTGGCAAGCGGATTCTTAACCACTGCACCACCGGGGAAGCCCACACTAATTTATTTTTAAGGCCATAACCTAAAAGCAGAACACATCACATCTGCTCAGAATTTAAACACATAACCACGCCCAACTACAGGAGAGGTTGGGACATGTAGTATTTAACTACTTAGCCACGTGCCAGGCAAAACTGAGGGAGGGCAGGGTTTTATTACTGAAGGAAGCAGGAGACAGTGAATATCAGAAAAAAACTAGCAAGCAACAAGAGGTAAAGGGTGGCCCTCAGTCTAGACCTGGGCATAGCCTTTTTCTTTTTCTCCCATCCCTTTCTGGGCTGCAAAACTTGGAGTTAATTGTTCTTAGGGACGCAAGAATATGGACAGAGGAATAAGGCAGCTGTTGGAGCAGTAACAGATGCATAGCTTGAACTTTTAAGAGCCTTTATCCATCAGCTTCCCCTGAGTCCAACCTAGTAACAGTCTCAGAATCTCTGACTTGGGAAGGACGTTAAAAGGCATCTAGTCCAACCTCACCCCACTTCACGCTGGGATACTCTCTGCTTGCTTGAACACCACTAGGGGTAGGAAAATTGCCGCCTTTGTGTTGCCTGATTCCTTCTCAGAGTCACTCCTTAATGTGAACTGAAATCTGATTCTCCCACCTGCCCCTTGAGCAAGCTTCTGTTTTCTGGTCCTTTCTGTCTGAGATGCTTTTAATCCCACCCATCCTGCAAGGCTCAGCTCTTCAAAGTCTTCTCCTACTTGCCCTCCACCATCTGACTCCTCCCCTCCACCCCAGGGAGAGACCTTCTCTGGGATGGCACCCACAGCAAAACTACGACCAGAATCTCACAGTCATTTTGGCATACAGCTCCTTCAGACTTTCCCTCAAACCCCTCTTTCCATGAGAGATTATTTATTCGTTCAGTTAAGGTTTATTGGATGCCTACTCTATTACCAGGACCTGGCTGAAGGCATGCATGCAAGGAGGGACAAATGGGACCCTGATAGGATTGGAACCAGGCCTTAGGGTTAGTGTCAGCTCTTGAACTCAGGAGGCAAATGGCAGGAGCATCACTGGGCAGTAGCTCTCTGCCCAGGACAGATCTGTGCATCAGCTTCAGAAAATCATAGCAACAGCTCCCATGCATTGGGCTACTACTCTGTGACATGTGTTTTATAGACATTAACCCATTTAACCCTTACAATAACCCAATAGGCATAGGATTATTGATCCCATTTTACAGACCAGAAAACCGAGGTTCAGAGAAGTTAAGTAATTTCACCAAAGTCTCACAGCTGCAACCTGCAGAAGCTGGGACTTTTAAAATCTGGTCTGGGGCTTCCCTGGTGGCGCAGTGGTTAAGAATCCAGCTGCCAATTCAGGGGACATGGGTTCAAGCCCTGGTCCGGGAAGGTACCACATGCTGCGGAGCAACTAAGCCCGTGCGCCACAACTACTGAGCCCGCGTGCCACAACTACTGAAGCCCGTGCGCCTAGAGCCCGTGCTCTGCAACAAGAGAAGCCACCACAATGAGAAGGTCGCATACCACAACAAAGAGTAGCCCCGACTCGCTGCAACTAGAGAAAGCCTGCACTCAGCAGCGAAGACCCAACGCAGCCAAAAATAAATAAATATATTTATAAAAAAAAAATCAGGTCTGTCTGATTTTCAAAGTTTGGGTTGCACCCTTTTTTGACTACATGCCTGAGAAGAACTATGTACTGACAATGAAGAATTCTAGATGCTAGTTAATTTCTAGTCAACTACTCCAGTGTGAGCCTCAGTTTCCCCACCTGTCAATTGCTGAGACTATCCTCTCTTCTGTCAACTTCAAAGGAGAGAACAGGCTGGGGAGTGTTGTGTCTCTAGCTGGACGTGGCCAGTCCCTGGGTAATGGGTCCTTTGACACTTGCCAGGAGGCTCCACACATCACCCCTCACTCCTGGCCTCTGATTGGCCTTCCCTGGCCTTGGCCTTCCCTGGCACAGCCTCTGCCTGGGAGGCCTTTAAGTGGCTGTTCCAGGAACCAGACCATTCTTGGAATTACAGAATGTTCAGATCTGTAGAGCCGCACTCTTTCTCCTTTGCGGAAGGGGAAATCATGGCTCAGGGTGCAGGGGCCTGGGCCTGGCTTAAACTACATGAAGACTAGGGACCCCATCAGGATGAGAACCCTCCAGAACCTCCCTCTTCTGTTCCATTCTTTTCTTTGTCATTTCCTGGTTGTATGTAATACGTGTTTCCCCAATTTCTTGGGTCTCTCGTGAGAACTGGAGAGCTGATTGACCTCTCTTTCCCCCCAGGGGCTTATGGGAATTTTCCATCAGGTTGCCACAATCCAAAGGATTCCTGGCTCCTTTATGTGCTTTCCGTGCTTGTCCTCATCCGCCCACTCCAGAGGCCAGCTCTCAGATGTCTATTTTTTAAAATTTCAGAATCACCCAAAGTTGATTTTCAACCAGCACTTTTTTTATGTTTTGTTTGCGGTACGCGGGCCTCTCACTGTTGTGGCCTCTCCCGTTGCGGAACACAGGCTCCGGACGAGCAGGCTCAGCGGCCATGGCTCACGGGCCCAGCCGCTCCGTGGCATGTGGGATCTTCCCGGACCGGGGCACGAACCCGTGTCTCCTGCATCGGCAGGCGAACTCTCAACCACTGCGCCACCAGGGAAGCCCCCTCAACCAGCACTTTTTAAAGGTGATACTAATAAGTCATAGTCCTAGATACCATTATTGATTACCTGCCTCAGGGGTTTCCCAGCTTTACCATTCACACAGCACTTTTGTGATTTCTACCCTATGTGCATTCAAGCTACATCATTATTTACTTAACATTTTATTTATTTTTTTAAAGATTAACTATTTCCGGTTAAGGATTCTGATGACGTCTCATATTCTGTTTTGAACAATTTGTATGTACATATACGCACAAGGAGAGAATGTTAATTAAAGTTGTCATTTTTTCAACTTCTTTTTTTTTTATTTTTTTGGCTCCTTTGGGTCTTTGTTGCTGAGTACGTGCTTTCTCTAGTTGTAGCCAGCAGGGGCCACTTCTCGTTGCGGTGCACGGGCTTCTCATTGTGGGGGCTTCTCGTTGCAGAGCACAGGATCCAGGCACACAGGCTTCAGTAGTTGTGGCTCATGGGGTCTAGAGCACAGGCTCAGTAGTTGTGGCACACAGGCTTAGTTGCTCCACCTGTGGGATCTTCCGGGACCAGAGCTCGAACCCATGTCCCCTGCATTGGCAGGCGGATTCTTAACCACTGTATCACCAGGGAAGTCTCTATTTACTTAGCATTTAAAAAGTTACCTTCTTACCTTTTTTACTTAAATGTATTTTAAAAGAAACTACATAACCACCAAAAAAGGAAGCCCACAGCCACATGTCATAATTAGAAAATAACTGTAAAAAGAAACACCTAACTAAAACTTTAAGTCCACCTGTGCATTATCTATGACAACTTTGTCTATTAAGAGTCATAGGTGTGGGCTTCCCTGGTGGCGCAGTGGTTGAGAGTCTGCCTGCCAATGCAGAGGATACGGGTTCGTGCCCCGGTCTGTGAAGATCCCACATGCCGTGGAGCGGCTGGGCCCGTGAGCCATGGCCGCTGGGCCTGCGCGTCCGGAGCCTGTGCTCTGCAACGGGAGAGGCCACAACAGTGAGAGGCCCGCGTAT